TGATATACGTTGAGAAGGTTTTGGCGCGACATGGCGTCAGCATCGAAAAGAAAGTGGATTCCCGTAATGAGGAGGTCAAGTAACCCTACTATAGAGGATTACATCAGATCCAGTACCAGAAAAACTAGGGGTGCCAAACTGGCACATATTGGCGCCATATGAAGACAGCACTCCCAATGATTGAAGTATCGACAATAAGGATGTTAAACAACCCAGGTATAGAAGTTTATATCGAATGCGCTGCTAAAAGGACTGCGGACAACATTTTTATGGCTCATCCTTCTTGGAGGTTCACCTTTGACAGTTCACTAGGATGTAAGGAAAAGATCGATAGAAACTGACGGCATAACCAAAAAACCAGAGCTCAAAATTATGAGCTACCGGTGGCTCTTATTATCCCAAGTGGCCCCTCGCTTATGAGCCAACGGTGGCTTATAATGTCGTCAACGTGTTAAACGACTTCAGCGAGTTGATTGCTTAAGTTCACTAAATTCCGTTCGGAGGAGATCTCGGCGTCAATCGAGCGATCATACTGGTTCATAAAAAGCTGATAAAACTTAAGATAGTGAAGCAACTAGGCCTCTCGAAATTTTCATTTGATGCAAAACGCGCCAGTATATGGCCTCTGGAAAACGCACTGAAAAATATACAGATCATGAGCGGAAGCTACACTCAACTATACATGTGATAGAATCACTAATGAACATCACACCATGGAAAGATTAGTGGGATTCACAAAATCAAGGTGAAGAAAACTTCCGTGATCCTAAAAACGAAAAAATGTCCGTATGAACGAGCTAGTATTGAGAAAAATTTCAGTAGTTCCATCGAGAAACCTGCAAAGGTTATGTAATTCGTTCCATTTGAAGAACAATATGGCTATCTACCAGGCAACAGAGCATTAGTATTACACCGTTGAAAGGCGTAATACAAGAACATGAAACCGGATATATTGTGCGAGAATTTGATAAAACTTTTCAAGATCAGTCATGTAAGGGCATTCTAGAAGAAGTGGATGAGACAAGACACTCACGGAAAACCAAGGCATGACCTTCCTCGCCAACCTGTAATCACGGCAAAATTCGGCACATGTGCATCAGCACATTATTATAATTGCCCTCCACTGAACGATTGACACCGAAGTCCCACAATAATTCCCAAGCTTTACGGAATGCTATGGAATGCCTTCGAACTGCACGTGGAGATTACACCAGATGCCTATGGATCAAAGATATCACGAAGCCATTACCAGACGATAATGATCAAAGTTTCCTCATTCCTTTACAGCACAACAATAATAAAACTACTTTACAGCACAACAATACATTCCCATTGAAACAGCTATGTCAAAGGCAAAGCATCAGCCAGCGAGACTGCATCCAGCCTTTACGTTGACAGTTTGATTGTGAAAGCAAACACAACAACAGCGGGGATCCAGAAGCATAAAGATTCGAAATTAATTTGGAACGATCCTCACATGAACCTGAGAGCATTTGTAGCCAAGAACCCTGTAATGTTGGACACTATATCTATATCTTTGCTCTGCGAGCCTAGCAAACTGTTGCGCGCACACGGACGCTTACCGGAGAAGGTCGCCAACTTACCGTGGAACTTTGAATGGAGACCTGGGTGGATCGATCTAGACTATTAGGCTATTAATAAATATAGATAGCAAAACTGCAACCTGCATTCCACAAGCAACTTAGGAGCATTCAAAGTTTGTGATGGTGCAGCAGGGTCTAGGCCTGGTGGTGAGCTGTGAAGGATAATCGAGGAATCACAAACGTCCGTTCAGGTCGTGGTGGTTCAGTGGTATGGTTCTCGCTTTGCAGGCACAGATTGCTGGTTCAAATCCCGGAGGCATGAAACTTTTTGCACCATTGTTTTTTACCTGATTTTTTGACTCGCGCACTGATTAACACTTGGTCATCACTTGATTCACGTTTTTGGCGTCTATTTACTGCGGAACTTTTTGTGCGTGATTTAATTCATTGATAACACTGAAAATATCACGTGACTTTGCAACAAACGTGGTAGATCAGACAGTCACTGCCGATTTGACCTACCACCACACGCGTGGCATTGATCACCACTATGATCAATCACCATGCCATGCTCGCCAGCAAAGGTAGTCTCAATTCTCCTGGCAGGATTCTGTTCGCCGAAGGACAACGATGCTGCTAATCGGAAGGAGAGGAAAATCGCCGAAAATCTGCTGCAATACTGCGAGAGTGTCGAAGGTAGAATTGAAGCAGAAACGAAGCTTGGATTCGGATGTCTCCACTGAATCTGACTGGGACCACTGCGATGATGACAACGAACGCTGCTCCAACAGTGCTGATGGTGAGATTTGAAGCGTGGTCTATTTCGGTTAATCAGCGGTAACAGGTGAATCTGCGTCTTTCGTTTCACGTTTACTGTGTGCATAGCAGTGGTAGCTTTTTCATGGTTAGGTCACAAAAGCTATGCAACACAACAGAAGTTCCTCAAGAGGATATCGTCCGTTGTCAAGCATGAGCGCAAGGTTCTACTGGACCAAAGACGACAACCACTTGAGAAAATTGCAAAGGATCTAAAGTGAGCAGGAGGAGGGAAAGGAAATGAGGATGCGAAGGTCTTTGCAGTTGAAAAGCGTGGAAGAACTGCACCACAAAAGAAGTTGAAGATAAATTGGCAACCGGTAGATCAGTTTAAAGTTTGCAGTTTTGTTCTTCTGGCAAACTTGCAACGGCATATCTGCTTCACTCATTTTTTGAATTGTTTCATCAGTGTTGAAGTATGAATAATATGAATAGTTTGCAGATATTTTCAATGTTATGAATGAAGTAAATCACGCACAAAAACTTCCGCAGCCAAGAATGTGAATCGAGTGATGGCCAGGTGTTAATTCGTACGCGAGTCAAAAAGTCAGGTAGAAACCAATGATGAAAGAGTTCCATGCCTCCGAGAAACGAACCAGCATGCTTTGCCCGCGAAGCGAGAACCTTACCACGAACCACCACGACCTCATCGGACGTATGTGATTCCTCGATTATCCTCCACAGCTCACCACCAAGCCTCGACCCTACTGCACCATTACAAACTTTAGATGCTCGTAAGTTTCTTGAGGAATGCAGGTTGCAGTTTTGCTATCTACATTTGTTAATAGCCTTATAGATTCTATGAATCCACCCAGGTCTCCATTCAAACTTCCATGGTAAGTTGGCGACCTTCCCTGGTTAAACAAATCCGACTTGAGCACATGGCGAAAAATCCAATAGTAATTTCAACAACGAGATATGTCTCATTATTGTGCTCGGAGCACATTGAAAACACCACAACAGTAGTGGACATACAATGACATAAGAACATCACTGTTACTGGATATGCGACCCTGAGAACCAGTTGAGAAATGCACCCAGTTCTGCATCGCTTGCCAAAAGACACAATTCACCGTACAAATATCCAGAGAAACGGATATCCATGAATACCGAGCGAGGGAGTCCGGGCCTTTCCGAAATATAGGATTAGACTATGTTAGGCCCAATAGGAATATGTAACGAATCATGAGAACGCAGAGCAGCTCACGGGTGCATATTTGAATGCTGTATTACCGACTTCTTCATCTAGAAGTCGTGCCTGATGAAACAACAACAAACTTCTTAAATGCATTCTGTCGATTCGTGGCTCGTCGAGAAAAAACTATGTTCAGTTTTCAGCAATAACATTTTCAGTATAGCGCCAACATTTCCAGTGGGAAGACAAATCATAAATGACTCCATTGGCACCGCTGCAAAAGATAACAAACTTTCCCGCTCCATGAGCAGCCAATTTATTGAATGGAAGCATATTAAACTCTATTCATCATGGAAAGGCGGTTTCTTTGAGCGTCTCATCAAAATTGTGAAACAATCTTCAATCAAATTAAGAAGACGCATTCTGACAATGGAGCAACTGTGTACATTTCTGATCGAAATCGAGGAATGTTCAAACAGTAGACCATTCATCGGTGACGACATCGTGCCCTTGCGACCAATCGACTTCATGCAACGAGCAATGAATGTTACACCCCACCCCGAGAAATTCTTCGACGAGGATCCAGCGGATCAAAGTTCCTACCAGCTTCTGAAGCATTACGCGTAGAGACCGGAATACAAGCACAGAAAGCATTACAATCCTCGTATGATTCGATCGCTTTTGGGAGATATGCAAAACCGAAGGCTAACAGCTCTTTGCGAATACCACCGAAGAATTATCAACAATAAACGAGGGAATTCAAGGGATATTTGAAAAGGTGTAACATTCTTCTGTATAACCTACTCAAAAAAAGAAACATGGAAAGCAGCACGCATTGATAAGGTGATTCAAGCACCGATTGAGCTGCTACGAGAGTGAAAAGCACTGCTGTTGAAACTTCGACACCATGTGAACCGAACTATATTTCTGGATACTACAGAAAATAGTTAGGAATTGCGAGAAACCAAATCAAAAGAGATGATCAATGCACTGCTCTGATAAGCACCACAACCTGCGTCCAAAAAGAACGACAGACTGTGCAAAAGAAAGCCAACGAATTCAGACCAACATAAGACACCTCACATCATATCGTTTTCAAAGCATGACCATTGTTGGTATGCCTGGAGAAACCACTGACTTAGCATGATATCAGCCGTCAAGAAACATACAGCATTGAAAAAGCATTGAAGCAGTGACTTTTCGGCTGCCTGCAGTATCTCTCTTTCTGAATAAGCTCAATTTTAGAAGAATGGCTCAAGAAAATACTGCGATGGCCTCAGAAAGAAGAGACAAGCCAGGGAGCGTAACTTAATAGATGATATAAGGTACAAACGATCGTGTGTTCGACTGACAGCCACCCACCCGTCAGAAAGAGAAATCTAAAAGGAGATCATCACATTTGTTAGAATGACCATATCAACAGTAAAAACTAATTTGCTCTCGCTGAATTGCGGGAGAGCAGGAATGCAGGAATTCTCTTTCTGCAAACAGGGAAGCAGACCTCTATGAGTGTCGCACACAGAAGGTGTACGTCGAAACACATAATACAATCGGAAGGATCCGCAGCAATGCATGAGCATTGTCGATCACATTCGAGGTGTGCAATCTTAGTGCTCCCAGAAAAGCGCTAATAAAATCTCCAACTCATTTCTTTGACAAAGTTGAGGATGGTGTGACCATAGAAGAAGTTTCCATAGCTGTTTTCATTCAAAACTAATTTCACTTCTTCGCTGACTTCAAGCATCAGACAGAGAGCGAGATTAGTGAAATGCAGTTTCAGGAGGAGAATGAAAAACATTTCAATACATTCGACCAGATGGAGGATCTGGACCTCCACATGGAACTTCAAGAAAATGCATAGATGCCTGAAACCAGATAGAGACTCAGAATGGGGGTATCAGGGATGCAAAGAAGGGAACTGACGTCATCCCTTGATAATGATAAAGCTGCAAAACTTGTTGGTACAAAGTGAAGAGACGAGGATCATCCCCCTAGGATAACGTTTTAGGTGCTACAAAATAAGAGCCGAAGATGATGACGAGGGCCAGAACTCGAGAGCAATCATGCTGCTTCTGCAACATCCCTCAGAGGCCGGATAAAGAGCTTGAAGAAATCCACAGTGAGCTTGAGATGTTTGAAGACTTCTAGAGACCGGAAACTTCTTCGTCGATTTCCTTAGATTGGGGGGTGGCACAGATATGAGTAGAGGAAAGGGAGAACAAGCATCATTTTTTTGATTCGTATTTATGGTATTTTGTTATTGTTCATGATACAGGTATAAAGGTTTATCGACTTCGAATGAAGCAAAAACGGGAGCCCTGAACAACGCGTTGAAGACAGTGATAGAGAGGAGTAATCTTATCAAGCATGAAGATAAACCACCGATGCAATAAGAAACTAGCTAATAAGATTGTGGCTCATCTTTGAGGCTTCTTAGTTTTGAATGAACACCATTATTCGCTCTAGTTTCCCGAGAAGACAGGCGCGGGAAGAAAATTCTCATAACTTGGTCCACAGTGTAGTTCCGCGAAATCAGAGGGAAGATTGGCGAACAATAGACGCGATGGTAGCTTAATGAGCGGCAAAATCCCTTTCATGTTACCATTCGCCTCCGATGAGGTGAGCACTTCTGTAAGGAGGTGTCTAAGGAGGTCAGGTTTGGAGAACAAGCGGCCGTTGTGATCATACCACCCAATAACCTGAAGCGCCGCCTGGTGAGTAATCGATTGTACGACCGCCCATGTACAACCCCCGATTGTGTGGTCTGCCCGGCTGGCAAAGTGGGTGACTGTACTATGACAGGGGTGGTCTACAAAATCACCTGTCGCAGCTGTGGGTACCAGTACATTGGCGAGACGGCTCGTCCGCTTTGCGTGAGGGTGAAAGAGCATCTGGATGGTATGAACAAGTCACGAGTGTCTATTGCATAGGGGGCCCATAAGGTCAAAATCCACAACGGGGCTGATTTCGGAGTCGCGGTTGAGGTCCTAGCGTGAGAGGCACGAACCTCCGCGCGAAAAACACTCGACGCATTCTTGATCCACGCCATCGATCCAAAAATGAACTGAAGGGAAGAATGCCTCACTATTACGCGGGAACTGAGGCCTTACATAAGCTTGGCCTTCCACGAGGGGCTCTGCAGAGCAGTCCGATCAGCTTCAGCTGCCACCTTCCTATTGGTCTCTGGGATCGGACTGGATTACGGTGAGTGCTCTTCCCCGTGATTGGGTGATGACCTGTTTAGGGTCGAACTTCTGCAGGCTTCAGACACATTTGATCGGGCAGTCGCAAAACGTTTCGGTCCTTTCAGGCTCTGATGAAGTCGGTCTCGCCGAAACGTGCGTAAGCCAAATAAAGTGAAATATCAACCTCGCGAAGTATATCCGCAGAAGAATTTCCACAGTACCACAACAATGCCGGGAGCCGTACTTGGCGATGAAGGCTTCACCTGCGTCGAATACGGGGTGAATCCGAAGCCGCATCCCGTTTTGTACCCAAACTTACGCCTAAACATTACTGTGAGCCATTTGCTCCCTACCTTATGGTGATTCATAGTGGCAATTGTAGGGAATTCTCGCAATCAAGAGCAGCAGGTAACAGGTGCTCAGTCATGAACTAGTAGCCCATCAAAAACTCAGCAGTAGACAAAGAAGCGAAAAAAAAGTCTGGGAACACCCCGAGCACACACGCCCCTCTAGCAGTGGGACCGGCGCCTTGGACGAGTTCATCATGAGAACAAGCTCAATCAGCAGGATTCTAGGTGTAACAATTCCGGCAAGAGCATAGGAAATCGCCATATGGCGCTCCAGGCAGCGCTATGTGGACACGCGAATCCGCTCGTAAGCCGTTGCTTTGAAGAGTTACAGTGTGCGGTTGCACCGGTTGCAAAACTCACGCGTCTCTGGATTCGTTCTCTCGATATTTCGAGTGACGAGTGACGGTACATTCTCTGCGAGTGCGGACAACGACGCCAAAGCGCGGAGGCATTTCGCTGATCACTTGATCGTGGGAGGTGTCTTCCAAGTCAGGATGGTCCATGAATCAGATCTTTCATTTGGATAATGAAGTTGATTACTGCAGAACGTTGTATGTGGTGAGTGGGGACTACCGATTTCACCTCTACCTCATGGAAAAATTAGAACGTGGCCGAGAAATAGTGCGAGTTAACGAGCCATATTTATACACCCGATCATTCATGCCAAGGTTATAAAAGTCGAACGCGGTTCTACTGAAGATTGCTGTTGCAAAAATCAACAAGAACTGTGCAACTTTTGAACACAAATAATGCATTTTGCTTGCAACGTTGTAAGATACAAGTTAGCATAATGTCAAACAAATTGTTCAGGTGAGAAAAACGATAAGCACAGAAAGTAGATTTTTGGCAGCTGTTCCAGGCGCTAGCTGACCAGTAAAGGCTCCCTTGTCGAAGTAGCGAGTTGTGAAGCCTATCAGATAACTTTTCTAGCGCTCATCTCACCATAGAAGTCGTTTAGGACGAAGATCGCTTCTTGAAATCGGCTTCTTGCATTATGCACGCACATGCAGGGACTATCAAAACGAGGTTCATTTTTCTAAACGCCTCGCGGAATGCCAAGAGAGGAGTGGAAAAAATTCTATGGAAATGCTTCACTCAGAGCTCCTATGTGCTGTGAAAAACTTGCAACCAATAGCGGTGAAGGATATCAACAAATCGCGTCTTACTTCTTTAATGGCTTGAAGGCACTTTGAACTATGGCTATAAGCATTGAATTGTGCCAAATGATCCCTTGGGCGATTGCAGAGGCTATGCTACATCTAAACGGTGAAAACGTGCAGGTTTTCCTGTGCAAGCTTAGCCATTAGGCCTATGGCACCCCTTCGGCCCATGGCAGTCTCTTAAGGCCTATGTTCTGTTACATCGCGAGAGTAGCGAACGCTGAACTGTGCGCATTCGTCGCTTGGTACTCCGTTCAGCTTGGTACTTGGTACTCCATGGTATTTCTTATGTTTGTTTTTCCCATCCTACTATGCTACTTCTCTCTTAATCCTGCTTTTATCGCCGGAAAATTGCTTGTATTATTTCATTTTTGTGTGTTTGCTTCTTTTATGAACATATTCCTGAATATCGACTCATTCATTGAACCGTTCCGCTTGCACTTTTTATAATTTTGCATTAACTCATTTTGTGCTTCGAAGTCACCTGATGAACGGCTTCATTCTTATCTTATTGTGAATTAATCAATTTCAGAGAGTGGTGGGATGAATGATGAATAAGAAATAATTATAACGAGTATTTGGAACAGCTGCTCAAACGGTCGACTTTGGCAAAAGGCTAGAAGCAGTCGCGCACTCCGGGAAAACACGTCCCGTCCTGTCTTTTCTTCACTGTATGCTCGTACGAGCTCGGTTTGACAGGGAGCCTCATACATTGTTAATGTATAGGGCATTTCGGACAAATTGTTTCTGGTTTTCATGTCGAAAAAGCGTTCTTTTCTTCAACAGTCAGAGCTGCTTGAAGCGGTATCGATCGGATGGCCTAACCTTCAGCGTGATAGATTTTCGTTGATGCGGCACGCATCGGCTTGACGGTTCGCTTCTTTGAGGCGCGGGAAAATGGGCGTTTCTCGTTTTCGGTTACCATTTGTCCACATATGTCTGTGAACGTGTGTAACTCAGGCAATTGTCAGTGCACATTGTGAACAGTAATGGTTTATGAGTAGGTGCAATTTGACTATAACAACACTGAATATCATCAAGAGCAAACTGCATACTCAACTCCGCGGATCTTGTCATAACAGGTGAATGGGTCCGCAGGTGCATCAATGAGCCCTTTTCTTCGGCGAGAGTGCACGGAAAAGGGGTTGGAGGGTAACGATATGTTGGTGGCGTCACCATAATCCGCCTGCGCTGCGCACATACGGCCACACGTCTAAACAGCGCCGAACGCTCCACTTTTCTACGCCCTCTCACCATCTGGTGTCCTATACAGCATGAGTGCGTCTTCCGCTACGGGAACATGGTATCGACGCAAGGGCTACGATCTGAGGATCGCGCGGGCGGGAGCATGGAAACAGCTTTATTGCTACCCTCCAGCCCCGCACTTTCGAGCGGAGAAAGCAGCACTTTGTTCCAGGTGCGAAACGTTCACCTCGCACATCTAAGATCGACCCCGGTAGTGTGCGTCAAAGTTGGTTTAAAGGGAACGACAGTGAAACTTGATCTATAGAGGATTATCGACGCCTGATTATGAAATTGTCTCCTTTTTCTGGCTGCAGTGCCATTTGGCGCAAATTTGCCAAATCTTTCTCCCACCTATGTTTGCAGGTAAGGGATATTCGGCCCAATTCTGACGACAAACGGCGTCGGCGCTAGAAATAAATGTCAGAATAATGATCAGAACCATGGATTACCCCCCCCATAGACCAACTATCAGCCAGATTTTTCATCATCTCGGTTTGTCTGATTAGGGAGTACCTGCGAACCACTCTACTGAGATCGTGTCTTGCCTTTGACCCGAGCTTCTCCATTTATCAATATACAAGTACAAGTCTAACAACAACGATAAAACTCATGTAAAAAACAACGAATGGAGCAAAAAAAGCACAAATCTACCGTCACGGGGGGAATGAAGATTGAACTTTACTGTGCCGACGAGAGTCTAGTCCAGGCATGTGCACCTACATCATGCAAAAAACCGCTTTCAAACAGCGACGTTTTGGAGTACATTCCTAGTTGGTTCTACTATCGAAATCTCCCTCACGTGTCTATAAATAGATTTATGGAAGCTGTTTACAGCGTTACTCGTTGCTAAGGCTTGATGGTGTCAGGGTCCGATGTGCACTCCACGAACCCTTCTTGTCAAAAGAAAGTAAACTCAGAAAA